TACAAACCCTCAGCTGTATGAGACGGTCATGTCATGCATGCTCCATGGTCCATGCGGGCCTGCAAACCCTTCCTGCGCGTGTATGAAGGACGGCAGGTGCACCAAAGGATATCCGAAGCCCTTAGCAGAAGTTACACAAGCCAATGCCAATGGATATCCAGTCTACAGACGACGTCGACGGCAACAAGGTGTTCTTAAGTTCAAAGGCAGAGAATACGACAATGCTACGATCAACCAGTGGGTTGTACCGTACAACCCGTACTTATCCCATAAAATACAACTGCCACATCAATGTGGAAGTGTGCACGGATATCACTGCGGTTAAATACCTGTACAAGTATGTGTACAAAGGACCCGACATGGCTATACTCACTGTGGAAGAGGTCCGAGGAGGGCAGCAGAGTGCGCGTCGAGAACCAAATGAGATTTTACGTTTCTTGAGCGCCCGTTACATTTCTCCGGTGGAAGCTTGCATGCGCCTGCTCGAATTCACGATTCAGGGAAAAACCCATGCGGTTACTCAGCTAACGGTTCATCTCGAGTCAGGCCAGACGATTTGCTTTCGCGAGACGGAAAACCCGGAGGCAGTTTTGGAACGTGGTAGTCACACGATGCTGACCAGATTCTTTGAGTTGTGTGCGAGTGAAGTGCCCGAGAATCATATTGCCAGAACGATGTTGTATCAGGACATCCCTAAAGAGTTCTGCTGGAAAGCGCCGGAGAAAGGGCAACCGAAAAGGTGGGTTCGCCGGAAACAGTATCAAGCTGCCGTTGGTCGCATGATTCACGTGTCTCCTCGAGATATGGAGCGGTTCTATCTTCGGCTACTGCTCTGTCAGCGTAGAGGTCCAACGTCGTTTGAAGACTTGAGAACGGTTAACGGGATTGTCTGCCAAACATTCCAAATTGCGGCGCGGGAGGCTGGCTACTTGGAGAATGACAACGAGTGGGTTTCGTGTTTGAGGGAAGCGGCTGAGCTCCAAATGCCGTATCAACTACGCCAGCTCTTCGTCACCATTCTGGTGTATTCAGATCCAGCAAATGTTGGTGCTCTATGGGATCGGTTTTTCGCGGATCTTTCCCAAGACTTCGCACGCAAACATCAGGCTTTGATGGACCCCTTCAAGTCGGCGTTGGTCGAATTTGAAACGCTGATGAGCATTCAAGAACTACTTCAAGCGAGTGGGTATGCGGTAGCTGACTTCGACGAACTTCCTCAGTTGGGGTCGTTCCCAACATTGATTCGTGAAGCGCTTCGCCAAACGGATTACTACGACGTGAGCTCACTGGATACGATGTGTCCGCTTTGGAGGCGATTGTAAACACAGAAGATCAGCTAAACGAAACTCAGCGGGTGGTTTACGACCAGATTATTGAAGCGGTTGAATGCCCGGAGGAAGGCAAAAAACTTTTTCTTGTCGATGGCCCGGGTGGTACTGGAAAATCTACACTGCTTCGAAACATACTGGCCAAAGTACGCACTAGACGTCAATGCACCCGTCACGGCCATGCTCTTATTTCCCACGAGGACTTCGACGCGTCCATGATAACGGGTGACGACGTGGTGAACGGTCGGCACAAGCTTCCGGCAACAACAATTTGTCAGATCTGCAACGCTTGGAAGTGGCCAGGCGAGTCTGCGATATCATGCTGTCTGGCAGGCAGGGTAAAGCTACCCCCACTGCACCCCGCGAGCCCTAGTCTTGGGCTGTAAGTGTCCTTTGGATAAGGAACTTAATATTAGTGACTCTTTGAGTCGAACGTCTTCCTCTGACGCTAAAGCTACGGCAGCCCCGCTGCATAATCTTACTTCTTCTCACCATGTAGCCAGCATTGTGCAGCTGGCAGCATAGTGTTGAAACCAGTCACGCTTATAGTGTTCAGTAATGGAATCTTATACCTGTTTGTTTTGTACGTGCAATCCATGACTAGCACGTCATGGTGGCGGCGAAACTAATTACCCTTACTTGAATGACAACCGCGACCTGTGCGACGTGAGCACTGTTGATGAGGTACGATCCAGAATTGGGAGGAATAATACTTATAATTGAATTATTCATTTCTTCACTTGACGAGAAAGTATTAATCCATGTATTGGATTTTTGGGACCCCTGCCGTGATATGTAGCCAACTAGGCATATCCTGCAGCCATCGCGGCTCCTTATATTTCTCCAAAAACAAAGCTTCTTGAGGCCGTGGCAAGCCATAAAGTGGTGCTACCAGCCGCTTTGGGAAAACTTGGGCTGCTTGGCGAGACGTATCTTCGAGAAGTCATGGAACGCTCGCGCAAGCTAGCGCAGCCCGTCGCGACTCACTGCTTCACTAAGTATCCAGAAGCAACCACGTGGGTGACGGGGCCTTCTTGCTGTCTAAGTAGGCAATGAATGTAGAGAGAAAATGTGCCTCCCTCTTCAGCTACTACTGTACATGTATATTACTGTTCATGTACAGTAGTACAACATGCTTTAATTTCTGCTGCTTTTGAAACGTAGTACACTCTATTAAATAAAATGGATAAGTAGTTCAAAAAGCTGATCTCTTTTGGATAATTGCATAGTTTTGGTTTGAATTGTTTAATTAATTTTCAAACAGCATCAAACAGCGCGTACGGCCGGTCAAGGCCTAAAACGCTCACTTGTTTTAGTGCTCTAAAAATCGGATCCTTGATATGTCTTAGAACTTTCATATGTAAAAGGCTTTTAATAAATTAGATCTGCAGTAAATAAAGATCTTATTAAAAAAACTGGATTTTCGCAAGTTTTTGAAGCAAGAAAAGTCAAACTCGATTTTTCAAAATAATATGTTGAGACCACCCAAAACAAAATGATACTTACGAACCTAAGTACGAATCGCGATTTAAGCACTCTAAACGAAAGCGGGGCGTTCCCTCTATCTCTTGAGCCCTTATAAGCTACAGAATGCTTAAAACCGAAGAAGTTGTGGTCGCTCAAAATATTATTTATGGGCCCTCAAATGACGATACATTTAGGAGTGGGTGTGCGCTCAATATTTTTTCAATTTTAAAGATTCAAGTGTTATTTAAAAGCCCTTGTTAAAAGCAATTGAAATAAGGGTTCTTTTACAGTTTTTGCGATGGAAGTTTACAATAAATGTCACGGTTTCGGTTAAGTGCGAAAATCAACTGGCCAACTTTAAGCTCGACCGATCTCGATAACTCTAAATAGGGGGTTTCAAAGTTGTCATTAATTAGGATTTTTTTTGGCGGAGATGAGCCTCATTTTTGTCGAAAAATGAGGGGGCTTTCAGCTCTGAAACACCACTAATTTGCCACAAAAACCAGATAATTACATTGTAACCCGTAACCCCGCGTGAACGAGTCGCAGGGCGTGAACGAGTTGCCGCGCGTGGGGGCGTGAAGGAGTTGCCGCGCGTGAGGGCGTGAAGGAGTTGCCGCGCGTGAGTGAGTCGCCACGCGTGAAGGAGTCGTAGGGCGCGGACTGGTCGCCGCGCGTGACTAGTAGCTGGGCGTGGGGGAGTTGCTGCGCGGTGAAAAAGTCTGAACGTGAAGGGGTTGCTGATGCCGTCAAGTGAAAGAAGAAAGTTGACGAACTGAATGCAAGGGGAGTTGTTCCTGCGAAGTGTTTTTCAAGTCTCTGTGGAGTTTGGTAGCGATGAGGATCGGTGGCTGTTAGATGAAGCAGACGAAATCTTCGTCACGATCGCTGCCATGTTCGCCGCGGTGTTCTTCTTCTTCGTTCACTAGCGTCGTATAGCTACTGGGACTTGATGCATCGTAGCTAGGGGCAGAAGGTTAAAACTCAAACTTGGTTCACCAGCTTCAGCACTTCCATACAAGCCTCCTAAACAGGCCTTCGATGTCGTAGTAGAACGGACAAGCTTTTTCAACAGCTTCTTCAAGCGCCTAACCTTTCCCTGATTTTCCTGAACACCTTAAAGTAAGATGTCCAGCCAGCAGAGTGGTCGTCATTTGCCTTGTCCACAATCACATTGAAATCAGCCGGTTTTTTCAGCCATTCCACCATAAACTGCCTCTGCAGTAAGGTGGTGTGGCCACCCTTCTGGCCCTTTTGGCGTGCCATGCTGATTCGAAAGTAACCAGGTTATATATTTAGCGGCGTACCCCTAAAAATGAGAATTTAAAAAATCAGCTGGAAAAATGCGTCTCGGGAGGCGCATTTTTCGACAAAAATGAGGCTCATCTCCGCCAAAAAAAAATCCTAATTAATGACAACTTTGAAACCCCCTAATGGTTCGTAAGTATCATTTTGTTTGACGCAGTCTCATATTCCAGTGGGACAACTGGAACTATTAATAACTGTAAGCATCGAAATATCGATCGGTAATCTAACCGTCATTTATTCGGTTGTCGCGCTTTTTAATGATTAGTACAGGGAACAAATCAAGCTACATTTGGTTGCTAAAACTTCGTCTTGGGAAACTCTTTGATACATGAACTGGAAGGCGCAACTTTAAACTGGACTACTGTATAGAGCTGTACATACAAATTAAAGGCTAGTCCATGCTGCGAACTCGGATGCACATCATCTCCACTTTGACAATCAAAAACGCGCAAGCGAATCGTTTCTGTGATCAAGACGCGAGGCAGAAGCACCGTCGCGCTATTATTCTGTCGCGCGCTCCGCATAAGAAGAGATACACGAGTAGGCATACGTCTCGTATACTACGTAGGTCTCTTTGTGCTAATAGTAGCACATGTCCTTACGAGCTGCGGCGCAGCCTCGACCATTGCGAATGCAGACCAGAAGAGCACTGCGTCTTCATCTCAGGCCGATTATAATGGTATTAATAAATACCTGCGAAGCGATACTGCAAGCACAGCTGAAGCCCACATGAACTCGGCGAGTGACGAAGAGAGAGGGATCATACCAGCAAGTGTGCGTATAGCACTCAAAAGGCTCGTGGCAAAAGATACTACCATTGACACCCATGGAAGAGGCAAAAGAGGCGAGAAGGAATGGAGGGCAAAGGTACTGAAGGTCTACAGGGTGGCCAAGACAATGCTCGACGATTATTTCCGACAACCGTTCTGGGAGTTCCGCTTCACTGTCTGGGCTGCGAATAAACGAACCCCAGCGATGATGTACGACCGGCTGGACATTATTTCGACAACCGGCATGAGAGACAAGAACTACCGCATCTACATCAACTACCTAAGGTTCTACGAGTTCTTTAAGGGACCTACGTATAACCCCCTGATTATTTATGGGCCAAAGGTAAAAACAAACTACCGGTAGAAATCATGCAGGTCGTGCAAGGAGATACAAAATGCATTATTTGCCCGCTGCAGAGTAGCGATGAATTCTCGAGGCATGCAATTACGCAGATAGAAGCCTAAGGCCGATTTATTAAGGGTGGGTTTCCGGTAGACAGAAGAAAAAAAAAAACAGACCTTTGGGTTTAAATGACTCTCCAATATCACGAAGTGGGGATCACCATACGCTTTTTATTCTTGAACCCGTTGAGATTGCTCTAGCTGACGGCCCCCCCTTCAAAGACCACTTATACGGTTTCAAATCCGTTAATGGCGGCTTTATCTTCCACCTTGCATGCAGGCCGTCCGGTTGACTCATTAGCCACCACACTTTAGCCAAGATCATGGATGTCGTTCGGCTAAACATTTCTTATTTGAAACGCAAATTATCCTATGCAGCATAGGTCAAGTCATTGCTCGCACTGGGGTCAAGGATAATAATACAACTTCTGTTCCTTTTCCCTTCGGGAGTAGGGTCATAATTGATAAGCCTAATAAGGTGCCGATAAGTCCAATCTCAAGATGTAAAAGAATTTGGAGGCGTACGATGGTTCATCGGCTGTTCCGAGGGAACGGCCTCTTCAAGCGTTGGGGAAGCTAGTAAAACTTTTGTCATGGTATTAATTGTGGAGGTGTCTGGTCCTGCGTTGAGAAGTAGAGTTTCAACTGACGCGATGCGGACAAGCAATCAAGTGGCTGCCCAGTTATGGTGACCCAGGCACGAATCAATGCTGGCGTACGTATGGTGATTTTCCACCGATTTACTTTCTCCAGTCATGGTGGCGAGACTTTGAGCAAGCGCCGCGTTGTGGTGGAGTTATTGGACCCTCTATACTTGGCGTATGTGGAGAAGAAGGCACTTTTTGAAGTACTAAACTGAGTGAAAAAATAAATTCTGGCGAGTCAGCTCATGAAGATTTAGAATTGGGGGGGGGCGGACAGAGAACGAAATTGAGAGGTGTAAGAGATTGCACGTTCGCTGTCATGAGAGAAAAAAATAGAAAATATTGAGTAATACTGTAGTGGAGAAGCTGCTGAAATGCTACATCTCCGCCCAATCCACTAATGCCGGTTTCTTACACGTTGTACAATTTACTGGAGTTCGTGAAGGGCCAACAAAGAAACTGCGGACACCAGCAGAATCCGCTTCATTAGTTAAGCTCTACATAAGACATCCAAGCTCGATACAAACTTGGTGTAGCTAGAACTGCGATCCCTTCTTGTTGCCAATCCCCTTTTCGTTTGCATCCTTCCAGTCGTCCCAAGCACGATCCTTATACGCCGCCTCCTCTACTAAATTGTCATCATCTTCGTCGCCGTCCTCCACGAGCTGGTCGTACCGACGCGGTCCCTGCGGCGCCTCCCTACATCAGCAGAAACACACACAAAGCGTCAGACAACTCCACACTACTCCTCCCTACCAGAAACCACAGCGTACTGCTCTCTCTTCTGCCTCTCCATGGCGTCGGCCACCTCACGGTCCGCATACTCATCCAACGTCATCGTGGGGAGGCGGTGGCCAGGCTTGAATACGCCCGAGCGGACCGTTTCCCGCCGCATTTCCATCTGTGGGTTAATCCGCGTCACCTCCTGCATAAACCACAGTACATATAGCACCATTAGCGTCGTCCCTGTCAGCCCATTATTCAGGCTCTCTTGTCGTACAATTCCCTGTCCCTGAGGCGGTGGAGGCGGTCGATGGGTCTCAGAGAAAAGATCCTGCTTCTCAGTAGTCGCGTTCATCTTGAGCATCGTCTCCAGCATCTCCTTCTCCTGATTGATCGACGCCTGCTCCTCCATACTCTTGACTACGGAGAGCTGGATGAAGGTCAGCAGCTGCTCCCGCTCGAGGTCCTCCATGTCGTCCTCCTCCAGTTCATCTGCGTCCTCCGTCGCCTTCTCCTCGCGACGTTTCTGCACTTGCTGCAGCTTCTTCTCCATCTCGCGCTGCAGCTGGAAGCGCTGGACCTTCTCGTCCCTCGATAACGAGAACTGTTTGCTCTCCAGTCGCTCGTATTGCTCGCGTCGCTTCTTCTCCGTCAAGAGACCAACACTCTCGGCGCGATCTAAGAACTCGCTGAGGAACACGTCGGCCTCGCGTAAGAATTTGATGCGGTGCACCACGTTGCGCGTGTGATCTGTCGGGCCCGAGCGCTTCTCGTCGCGCTCTGTCTGCTGGAAGAACGTCTGCTTGGGTGTGAGCATACCCAAGTAGTACTCGATGCACAGGGCGTACAGCTGTGTGTTCTGGAGCTCGAAGAAACGCTCGTTAGATGACAGCACGCCGTCGAGTTGACGCTGTTGGATGCATTTTTTCTGGTACTGCAATGTGATGGTCAGCTCGTCCTGGAAGGCTTTGGAGCTCGGGTCAGACACAGCTGTGCTGGGGTTTTCTAACGCCATGAAGCGGCGATGCGCCTCCACGAAGCTCACCCGGTCGGGCAGTGCCGTAGCCATTACTACCGATGAGTGTGCGGATTGCAGTGATGACAGAAATGCTTTTAAAGAGGAATGTGAAGTGGACCACTTAAGAATTTTATGCAGAGTAGGCAACGGGCGACACAAGAAATGGTGATAAATGCAGACAAACTTTGATTCCTTCTGGCGGTGTAGGTAGGCTTTCGTATAACCTTATAGAGGAGAGACGAGCGCAAGGGGCCGTCAAAGACGTCGACTTCCTGTCTCGAAAGAGGAGCCGCCTGAACTGGCAACTTACACCTCGTTCTTCATGTCGATCGCACCAACGTCCTTGCTGTACTGGTTGCTTACTCCTTCTTGCCAGATCCCGTGGCCATGCAGACCTCACCGCGGATAATCTGCGCGAAACCGACGCCCA